AGAGATCGAGAGGGGAGAGAAAGGGAGGGAGGGAGTCAGGGAGTCAAACCTGTGTTAGCGGGCACACCTGTAGAATGAACACCTGCCAATAAAGGTGTGTAATATGCATGTATATATCACTCACCGCCTCATCACTGTCCTGAACCGTAACATTGGCCTCCAGGTAATTCTCTCTGCTCGCGTGGAATGCTCCGGACTTGTACTTTTCTGCCCTGATCCCGGCCTGGAGCTCTGACAGCGGAAGGTGTTCCGGATAGGTGATCCGGCGTCCGTCGAAGATGTCTGCATCCGGCTGCATGAGATGAAACCGATAACGTTCTTCACCAAGGAAAGAGTCATACGTAATGTCTGCTCAACCATCAGGACTAAGACAAATTTCTTCCCCTCACCTTCCTGCCACAAGGTCGACGTTTTAGAAAAAAAAAAACTGGGTGTGCTTGACCGACCTAGCAACAATCTGCGTGTTTGTTTCGGCCAATCACTGATCCGGATCAGAAATTGCTGAACCTGTCGGAGAGGTGGATTCCAAGGGGATCCAATATGGCGGCGTGCGACCCAGCCAATCACTGCTTGTTGTTTGTTATGAACCATCCTATGATTGCTCACAGCGAAATGTCGACCGTTGGAAGTGAGTTTGTGTTTGTTTGGGCAGATGAGGATCAAGTGATCCTGATCATACGGATTCGTTCCAAACAAACATGCCCAATATATATGGACAATGGGGTGGTTATCACACTCACATAGACAGGTGAATTGCCCTTCAGATAGCACACAGCAGTTAGAGAGGCAGGATAAAGAGCAGCATACTTACAGCATGGCTGCGGTCCTGGTCCAACTGCGCAAGCTTGTCCAACAGCTCCGGATATTTCGTCACACTCTTCACGTATTCCTCGACTAGAAGGCGATGTGAGAAAGGCATCAAGTCAAAATCAACATCAAAGATCGACAAACCGCGCAGCACCAACTCACCAATGAGTGGAAAAAGCTTTTACAGATAAATCCACGAAAGAGTTAAGGGGGGCTTATGTCGGGCTTGCAAGCCAACTTGACTGGAAGCAACTGGATTTCGAGCAACTGGAAGCGATCGGCAGCGACTAGTTGCGTCCAGCTGCCCACTGTTCTATTCCGAGCAACTAGTGGCGGCCAGTCGCAGGCAGTCGCGTCGCAGTCAACCGACCTAAGCACTGCAGTCACAGTGAATTGCAGCCAGTTGCTTCCAGTTGAGTCGGCTCGCAAGCCCGACATAAGCCCCCCTTAAGATAATAAGACACAGAAAAAGGCAAGTTTGCATAATCAAAATCCGATTCGCATTACGTGAACCAGTGCATGCAGTGATTCTCTTCTCTCTGGCTGTGTCTTTACTCTAAGCCATGTTACCTGTGTATGATGTGATCCCCTTGCCCCTGGCGGCATCCCTTCTCTGAGCGTTGCTTGCCAGTAGCACGATTTCCAAGCTGTCGTTCATCAGGTGCTTCTTGTACCAAAGCGCCGCCGCGCGGATTGCACGATCGTTCCTATCGCTGGTTGATTCCCCTGGCTTCCGCTCAATGTACGTGTCTCTGAGATAGAGTAAGGGTGAGAGCCACGATACAGAAACAGGTTAGAGCTGAGATACAGTAAAGGTTGGAGGCATCATAGAATAGAGGTTAGAGCGGTGATAAAGTAACAGTTAGAGCTGAGATACAGTAAA